CCCAGGCTGTTTGGTGGACAGGAAGGGGAAGATCCTCATCCCTGGCATCAACGAGGCTGTGGCGCCCCTGACGGAGGAGGAGCTGAAGCTCTACGAGCAGATCGACTTTGACTTGAAGGAGTACGCCAAGGACGTCGGGGCGCAGACCCTGCTACATAGCTGCAAGGTGCTGCTTTGGCCATGTTGGGCCTCCCAGTAGCCCCCATGCACAGGCGCCCGGGGGATGGAGCAGAGGGGCTGGCAGAGATCTGGGCATTTCCATGGGCACCTGAACCCTGGAATGATGCAGAGCCCAGAAGCACCGGGCTGGATGCTGAGAGGTTGTTAGAAATGTCTAATATTAACTGGTGACAGCATAGGCATAGAACACATGCAGACAAAACCTAGAGGCAGGGAGCCTGTTTGTGTGGAGAGGACAGTCTCCGGCACTAGGCTAGAGATAGTGTGAGACCAGCTAGCAGAGCCCGTGCTCAGGCGCACGCTGCAGTGAGCTCTTAACTCCTGGGGGAGCCATGTTGTGACTGAGTTAGTCTAGTTCCTGGTTGGTGAGGTCTGGATGGAAGTTCACATTCAGGCCATCCAGCACTAATGAGCTCCCGCAGGGTCTGCACTCCTCCTTGCTTGTGCCGACCTGGCCGGCTGTGACTAAGAGGGACTTCCCAGACGACATTCCCGTCTCCTCAGAGCACACAGTGCTGTCCCAACCCACTCTGTCATTTCTGCAGAAAGACGTCCTGATGCACAGATGGCGGTACCCATCCCTCTCCCTGCACGGGATCGAAGGCGCCTTCTCTGGCTCAGGGGCCAAGACTGTGATTCCTAGGAAGGTGGTCGGCAAGTTCTCCATCAGGCTTGTGCCCAACATGACTCCTGAGGTTGTCAGCGAACAGGCACGTGGGCGCTGGGATGCAGGGAGGGGCTGCGGTGCACCAGCAGAACTTTGGGGACAAGGGGCTTTCCTCCAAAAAACTGAAACACTCAAGCCCAAAACCCACACATCCCCACCTCAGCTCCAGCCAACTCAGTAATTACTAGCATAAGCAGTTCAGAAATTGACCAAAGGTAAAGGCCATATAAAAAGCATCATGAATGTAAGTGACCTTTGTCACCGCTGAGGCATGCCAAAACCTGACCTCTGACCTCACCCTGAGGCTTCAGGTCAGATGCTGACTTTAGGTCTGATATGTTATGGTGAGAGTCCAAGGGAGCCGCCTCTGGGCTGTGGTGAGGGGCAGAAGGAAGATTCCAGAGACGGAAGACTTCAGAGGGGCAAATTCTGGTAGCTGCAGGCCCGCCAGGCTTCCTGGGAGGAGTCACCCACACAAGAAGGTTTGGAGGCTGGAATCAAGGGCTTCCCCTTTGGGAGGTCCTCGCATTTTGTGATCAAGAGGTGTCCCTGGGTCAGCACCTGGCTCTGTTTTTGGTCCGGATGTGGTCTTTTTTATAAAGCCGGTCAAATAACGCTTTTAAAAACTTGGTTTAAATATTATCATCATATGGAACCATCTACTTAAAGGGTGAATTGCTTGATATTAAAACATTACCTTTTACCTTCAAGTAACTGACTTTTGAATCCTTTTTTTTGTAAAATATGTCTTTATTGATTTCAAAGAGAGGAAGGGAGAGGGAGAACAAGAAAGATAGAAATATCAATGATGAGAGAGTCATTGGTTGGCTGCCTCCTGCACGCCCCCTACAGGGATCGGTGCCCTGACTGGGAATTGAACCTCAATCTCCTGGATCATAGGTTGATGCTCAACCACTGAGCCACGCTGGTTGGGCGGCTTTTGATTCTTGATAAAATCCCTTTTTCTGTTATCACAGTTATGCAGATCAGTGTCTAGCAGCAAAAATGAGACCCATTGTAGATCCATTGTAGACTCACTGTAGAGCCATTGTAGATCCTTTATGGACTCACTGTAGAGCTGCTGCAGAGCAGATCACTAGCAGTGGGTCAAGTGCCGAGCTTTATAATTGTGTCTCTTCTGTTTGTGGTTCAGGTTATAAAGTACTTGACTAAGAAGTTTGCTGAACTGCAGAGCCCCAACAAGTTCAAGGTGTACATGGGCCATGGTGGGAAGCCCTGGGTGTCCGACTTCAACCACCCTCATTACATGGCTGGGAGAAGAGCCCTGAAAACAGGTCAGACGCTCTCCCGGGGATGATGCCAGGGCCCTTGGTGTGTCTGCTGGGGCTCTGCCGCATCGTGTGGGCGCATAGCCACATAGCGATGTTCTGGGGGGTGTCGGTATGCAGGCCGGGCCACACTGCCAGCGACTATAAGGGCTGCTGTCCTCGCGCTCACACGGTCTGGCCCTGGTGCTGCGGGTAGCAGGTCTGTGGGGGAGCCCCAGCCTCACCATTTCTTTCATTTCATTCCCCTAGTTTTTGGAGTTGAACCGGACTTAACCAGGGAAGGTGGCAGTATTCCTGTGACCCTGACTTTTCAGGAGGCCACAGGCAAGAATGTCATGCTGTTGCCAGTGGGGTCCGCCGACGATGGCGCCCACTCCCAGAATGAAAAGCTCAATAGGTGAGGCTCCGGGTCCTCGGTCCTGAATCTGGGTTGGTTTCCTCATGGGTACCAGTGAGAAATCCTGTGAAAGCCAGGGCATCCCTGCATCTCTTCCTCCTCCCACTTCCCCTGCTTCCAGGACCCCTCACTACCGTCTGTCCTGGGGCCGAGAAGGGGGAAGGGGAGGACAGTGAACACTTCTGGTGCGAGACAGGGAAGGAGGCCTGCGGGTGGTGGCAGTTCTTCAATACAAGGCTCGCCCAGTGGTCTTTTGATCTCTGCTTCCCCTGTGAGCCCTGAAGGACTTCTGTATCTTCCTGTTTAAAGTTCTCATGTCATTGCTGGCTCTGTAAGGCTTAGAGGGACACGATGGGGGTCTTTAACCAACAGAGACGGAAGTCGATCTCTGGGTCGGCAGCCATGAGGAGAGACCCATGCAGGCAAGGGAGGCCCCAGAGGCAGAGACCCTCCGTGGAGGGCAGAGGGGAGGGACAGAAGAGACCCTGTTCCTAGGATACGCATGAGGTGGAGACTTCAGATCCAAACAAACCAAGGGAGGGCCATGATCAAGGTGAGGCTGTTCATAGTTGGGAGCTAGGTGAGATCACGTGTACTCGATGAGGCCAGGGCCAGAGCCTGGGCCTGGGCAGGGACCAGGACCAGTCAGTCCCTGCTGAGACACTCAGGCTGAACCTGCACTTGAGAATCAGGTGCCCAGATTCTAAAGGCGAGCAGGACTCAGGGCCCATGAGCCAGGATGTGGGACGCTCCCAGGATGCCCAGACCTTGGGACACCAGCCAATACGATGACTGTTCCTTTCCATCAGGCACAACTACATAGAAGGAACCAAAATGCTAGCCGCGTACCTGTATGAAGTGTCACAGCTAAAGAACTGAGAGGCTCCGTGTCCCTGGAGCCACTGAAGGCCCCCCACCCCACCC